GGCAGGACTGATCATGTCTGTCTGCATTAGGGTTTAGCTGCAGGGTCTGGAAGTGGCTTCCTGTTGTCTGGGGCTGATTAGGTCCATTGTTGATATATCCTCCCTGTGTAAAAGACAGTAGATCATCATTTAATGTATTTAATTGACTTTGAAATTTACTAATCTTTTCCATTTGTGTATGCTGGCTTTCTTTCAACTGTTGGATACTTTCTTCTTGTTTCTTTTCTTGTTCCAGTTGCCACTGGTGCTGGTTTTCTTGCCACTGCTGTAGTCTCTCTCCTTGCTTATTTTCTCGTTCTTCTTGTTTCCTTTCTTTTTCCTTCAACAACTGCTGTAATCTCTCCTCTTGTTTATTTTCTTTTACCTCCAAGAACTGCTGTAATCTCTCGTGTTTATTTTGCTGTTCAAGCTGTCACTGTTGCAGGATTTCTTGCCACTGCTGTTGTCTCTCTTCTTGTTTCTTTTCTTTCTCCTCCAAGAACTGCTGTAATCTCTCGTGTTTATTTTGCTGTTCAAGCTGTCACTGTTGCAGGATTTCTTGCCACTGCTGTTGTCTCTCTTCTTGTTTCTTTTCTTTCTCCTCCAACCACTGCTGTAGTCTCTGTTCTTGTTTCTTTTCTTTCTCCTCCAGCCACTTTTGTAGTCTCTTTTCTTGTTTATTTTCTCATTCTTGTTGTTTCTTTTGTTGTTCTTGTATTGCTGCCATCAAATCTGCTAAGCTGTAGTTTGATTTGCCACTTCTCGTTTCCATCTTCTTTTTTTCTCTTTCATCCTACTTCTGACACCAATTTGTTACGTATCTGCTTGTTTGATAATTTCCAGTACAAATTCTTTCTGAGGAGCTTCAGCGATACAAGTCCTTTCTTGATTAAACCAGTTTATGCTTCCTCGATACAAACTTTAGTACACAGTAGTTCCACAGTCAATACGTTTCTCGTCACTTTAAACTTAACAACTTTTATAATACACACTATAAATCACAGTGATTCACACACTTTACTTACTGTCACTACTGTTCACTTCTTTAATTATCTATATATCGCTGGCATATGTGCCAGGCTTATATACTAACAAAGAGGGCATCTTGAATGCAATCGGGCCTTCCAGATCATTCATGATCATTCGAGAAATTTCACGCACACTACCAGCACCAAATGCACTAGCAGCATCACATGACTTCTGCTGTCGTAACATTATTATTTACCAATCTTATTAATCCTTTCAAGATGGGTCACAGGTGAAAGGCCATGTCATCTCATTTGTTGACTTGCATTCAAAATTTTATTGAACTACTATTTCATGAATTGATGTCAATAAGTTTGGTATCAAACTGTAGATTATAATTGAAATTTTAGAACTATACATTACTCAATTTGTTAATTTAAAAGTAAATATTAAAAAACACACAGAAACATCGATTTTTATGTGTCACGTTGTATGTTGAATGCATCACTGGTTCAAATTAGATGTTTGTGAAGTCAAAATACTAAGTCTATAGTTTCATATGAATTAAAAACTCAAATTACAGATATTGACAAGATGGAATATAAAATAAGGTCTTATCTTTTCTGTTTGCTAAGATATTGCTCACGTAGTTTGATAAATTGTAGTAGAATTCTATGGTATTGATGTACTAATTTATGATTTTTTAGTTACTCAAAAGTATATATATAAAACCTAAAAAAAAAAATAATTTTGTTTCATATCCTCCACATGCAAAATTTTTAAAGGCTTAGCAAAGTACGTCAAGCAGCAACCGAGTACAAAGTTTGTAACTGAAAGAGATAATTGTTTGCGTTACTTCTTTATTTACTGTTCTATGTTTTAATAACTTTAAGAACTTATTTCAAAATAGCAATAATCTATATACATATATAATGTATAACAATTGAAATGTGACTCTATTTTAGAAAATACTAGTTGACTAAAACACAGCCAATACAAATTACTTTGTACACCTTTATGTTATTTGATAGAGTAACATGAGTGCACGTGAGCCACGTCATTGTAACTACTGTATTGTTAGCTAGGCATGGGTGAAAGGTCAATATATGTTATGAGAATTAAACTGTTTCATCTAAACATTTATGTTTTTGTGTTAAAATTTATGTTCATTCTAGAATGAAAGAGGCATAATTTATGTTTATTTTCTAATATTTTATGGTGGTTGCGAGATCGGTCGAATTTACCGAACCTGTACAGAGATTAATTACTGAAAATAACAGATAAAATACAAGTTTTTTTTCAGAAATGTTTGATAACTAACTATCCAGACATTATAAAGATTTTGCATGTGAAAGTTCAAAATTTTCAGATGCATAAAAGTATTCTTAATCTTAAAATGAAAATTACTTTGCATGATGGACAGGCAAGATGTGAAAAGAAAAAAAAAGGCATGAGAGAAACAATGCTTTACAAACCTTAAGACTTAATAAAAAAATTAGATATTCTATGTATGAAAGCATTGTAATGTTTACTGATAATCTGCCAAATTTCGTTAACATTCGATTACTAATTTAAAAGTTATAGCATGAAAACTATAACAAGCACAAAATGGTTATGAGGTTGGTCCCAGGTACCAAGCCTGGGTTGAAAGAGTTAAACCAACTTGTTTTTTTTAAGTAATTGACACAAATGACTACAAAAAAGAATATTAGTCAGGTCTATAAACAGATTTAATTAGGATATTCCAAAAACTTCAACTATTGTTTTTTCTAATAACTAAACATGTTTCGACTTCTATTTTTACTGTATTCTTATAAAAATGCAATGAACACTTTCTTTATAATCTAATATACAATATTTTCTGTACCAATAGAGGCATGAAAAGATTTATTGACTTGAGTCTTCATAAAAAAAATAAAGACACAATTTCAAATATTTCTTCCCCTAGCACCGAACTTGCATATATGTTTGTATTGCTACTTTGTGCATCAGATTGAGCATCTCTTATGTACATAACCAGCATGCTGTTTTATAATACCAATTAAACTTCACTGACATTTGGGTCTTTTTCCATGGCCTAATACCAAGGCATTATATTGTGGTAGGGTGTGCCATAGGTAATGTATTAATCAAAAAATGTCAGAGCAACATACTTGTATGAATGATGACTTTACCTTTACTGATAATATATGAATGAGTATATATTATAAAGTAAAATTAATATTAATGTAAATGATTTAATATTTCTCTTTGAAATTTGCAATACATTTTTTATGTTTTTATATCCAATAGTTGATGCAGTCATCTGATGAGAACTGGGATCAAGAGAGAACTAAACAAGTGTGGAGATGTGAGAGTCAACGGTCTCACACTACCATTGCTCGATACGCTCAGTACCAGGCTTCTTCTTTCCAAGAATCTCTTAAAGTAAGTACCTACAATATTGTAAGGACTATTTCAGTTAACCTTATGGTTATGGGTTTGAACCCATTTGGCTATTTCTCATACAGAGAATGATACACAGTTCAACATTATTTAGAATAACTGAGCTTTTTTAATACATCTTCACAAAATATTTTGTTAAAGATTACAAGTATTTTGTACACAAAGGAATGAGATTGTTTTAATTAAGTATTTTAATTAAAGACTTGTTATTTTTGTATCATAGTTATTTGCACTCAGACTCCAAATATTTCAGGTATTGTCATCAACTTATTGTGCAGTGAAATCTGTAAAACTAATATACATACGTTTTAATTTTTCACTGAATAATCTTGAAAATCTTCTTAGTTTATATTCTTAATTATAAGTTTTTACTTTTACAGAAAAAATTATTTTTGATGTTTTATTTTCCTTTCCTATCCTTAAGCATTATTACTTATCGCAATACATGTTAACAGGTGTTCTCAGGGATTTCTCGGCAGCGACACTTTAGCCATTGTCAGAACGTTGGGACATTTGCCTATTACACTAAGCCTGATAAACCGAGGCAGCTTGGCTTATATTAAAAAATAATAATTATACCTTTCTAATATGCATTTTAAACATAATTAACTAAAATATAAAAGTAAAACATAAATAACATTTAATTTAGTGTCTAACTAACATATTTATAGGTGAGAAATAATGCTAAAGTGCTAGCGTGGATGCAAGCAGCAACAATGCTAAGAACATTTGACAAATTCTCTATGGAATTCTTCATGCCAATTTTTGGAAAATAGTATTCCAAAATATGGTCTTTCTATTGGTTACAATCATCTAGCTCAACAAAGTATAATTGGCTGAGAAATTGCAACTATGTGTAGAGAGTGGGCATGGTATCTGTCAAGAGTTCCAAGAAAATTATTTATCTTTCTTCCCAATGTCCTATAAGGGGCTTGAAAGAATAATGTGTAAACAGAGCAATTAACATAGAAGTATAGTGTACAGAAAGAACTATTTAAGTTACAGAGTCAAAAAGTTAAAATTTTGAGAACTTGTGCATCAAACTGAAATTTAAGAATTTTTCTTTAAGGTTTGTTTTGAAATAAAGGAATTAAAACTTAGATAATATAAAACTTTGAACCATATTGTAAATTGTAATGCTAATTTTATTGGTAAAAATTGATAGTAAGATTGCTTAATTAAATTATGAATGTAACAAAGTAAGATTTCATGACATGCACAGTACAGAGATGCCCATAATTATAGGGTTAATAAGCCAGGAATTATGGAGAGTAGTGGTTTTATGAAAGAATAAATAAAAGTGTGCACTATGGTTTTTATGTGTATTTATAATAAAGTTTAATAAAACTTTTTTCACATCTTTGTATGTATGTATGTATGTATATATACAACACACTTGCATATTGATACTATATTTTTGAGTTAATAGACCAGTAGTGGAACTGAAGAGAAAAGGGTTGGTTACAGAAATATAGGGCATATTAACTCTTTCAAATTCAGTGCCAGAAACAAGTTGAGTTCTATAATTTTTCCAAGCCAATGACAAGAGATAAACAGATACCAGACTTTTCCAGGCAACTTATAGAAATTAGGTGGGTGCAAGACTTTTACAGAACAAGCTTTGGTAGATGGGTAAACACTAGATTAATTTAAGACAAGCTACAAAAGCTAGATGTCATAGATTTTCAGTTTGGGTTGTAGTAGATTGTGTGCATAAGGTTCTTTCTAGTCAAGTTATAGGAGCAGAGTGAGTTCTGGACTTTTTCAAGTTGAGCTACACAAGTAGGTTAGTGCTAAATGATTTCAAGGCAAATTACAAAAGCTCTGTGGGTGCTATATTTTCAAAGTAAGCTAACAGCTACTTATAAAATCTCCAGGACAATTGTGAAAATTTGATTCTTAGCAGTATTTTGGGAAACAATGAATGAAAACATTTCTTAGTGAAAAATGCTGGAAATTAGAAATTGCTAGGATTCTTCAGAAAAGATTGGTACTAAATGAATGGGTATTAATATATTAAATAACCATGATACTACTAAGGTAAGGTAACATTACAAATTTATTAAGCACAATACAAGTTTTACAAATATTGGAAATAAAGTCTTTATCTAAAGTATTTCCTGACCAGAATGTTTTAGGACTAAATATTTCAAACTGAAAAACAGATATTCAAATAAAAAAACTACAATTTTAATATCAAACTTGAAAGCACACAGTATAATAAAGAATTAAGAAAAGAAAAAGAACCAGAAGAATAAAAACTTAATTCATAAGACTATATGAAAGAACAATACTAAACACTTCTCAAAATATTACAAACAATGATCAGGTAAGTAGCTGCAATGAACTTTATCACTTCTGATAAAGTTTGTGTTGGTGTTTTAATATAAAAGTGAATTAATGCTTAATATACACTAGGAGATAGGTGAGCTAGCATTTTTAAGATAAAAATATAGCTGAACTAAATAACAGAAAAAAAAACATAGATAAAAATAAAACAGGAATCACTACCTCACAGCAATAGGTGGTAGATAAGTATGTTTTATCAACATTTATAAAGGTCATATGATGGATTAAATCAACTAATCTGTAATAATTGTGTGTGTAAACATATACTGGCCATTAAGAACTATAAATATAAATTAATCTGAGATTTTTGTAAGGCTTTTCAGCTGAGTTTAGATAGTAGATATTCTAGCAGTTGGTAGGTGTTTGTTCAGTTGGTAATACTGAAGAGTAACCCTGTTTTAACCAAATTTATGAAACATTAATCTTAAGTTTTGATACTTTTCTATTAGGAAGAACAAGAAAAGCTCCATAAAGACTCGGATAATGATTCTCTGGCCTCCATATCCTACATTAGGTAAGCCACCATGATATTTGTTTTAAAAGCTTTCTATTTGGTAACCAATTCTACCACAGAGTATCAAGTCAACAAAAATAAACTTCCAGTACAGTTAATAAGAAGGCTTGGATTTTTGTTTTTAAATCAACATGACAGTGCTTCAAAGCTTGGGAGGTGCTTGTGGTGACATCTCTTGGGACAATACACTAACATGTGTTTATTCTAAATGTAAGAGACATGCAAAAGGTGAATTGAAGAAAGTGGCTAAAATTTGAACTAAAATAATTATTTTTCAATATATCTATATAACAATAATACATTTAACATTTCTCTAAATCATAAATATCAAATTTCATTGATTCATATTATTATAATCAAATTAATTAAATATAAGGTTGTTCATTAATGCATTCTGGAAAAATAAATCGGAAATTTGTAACTTTTTTTTTTAGATTTACAACACTACTTGTATATAGTGACAGCTGATGCATAATGGCGGTTCTGATTAATTTTGTTGTGTTAATTGTAGTAATTATAGGCTACACTGTAATCTCCAAAACAAATTTTAAAACTAGCCTTATTATGAGATGTTATACAAAAAAGAAAAATATATGAATATTGTTACTGTTTATGTAGATGAGGGTAAGGGTGTAAATTTGGTGTATCTGGATTTTCAGAAAGCATTTGACAAGGTGCCACATAAAAGGCTTGTAAAAAACCTCTCTATAGGTGTAGGGGATAACTTAGCAAATTGGATAGAAGAATGGCTGGATGGAAGAAAGCAGAGGGTTGTTACAAATGAAGTTCAGTCAAACTGGATTAATGTCACAAGTGGGGTACCTCAGGGCTCAGTCTTAGGACCTTTGCTCATTTTGATTTACAACAATGACACAGATGAAGGGATAGTCAACAAATTACTTAAATTTGCAGATGATATTAAAGTCTTCAGTGTTGCTAGCTGTGAAGAGGATGCTGCTGATTTACAAAAGGATTTAGATCATATAGTGAGTTGGGCAAATAAATGGCAGATGGGTTTTAATTATAATAAATGCAGGATAATGCATGTGGGTTATCATAATTTGAATTATAAGTATAATTTGGATGGGAATAACCTTAATAGTGTTATGAA